AATTAATCCTCTCTGGGATCTTGGAAGAGTCTAGGGAGAGGGAAGTGGCAACTTAGATTTTTGACTTATTTATATTGACATAAACTTCTAGGGATTTCTGCCTCTGAAATGTAGACTCTCAATAAAAGTACTATAGAGTGTTTCAACTGAAGCTGATGTCCAGTTCAAGTTCCTCCTTACCTTGAAAGTCCCCTCTGATTGTCCAGACCCATTGGGATGTCTCTTCCTCCAAATCCCCATTGCACTAAGAGCCTGGACTGTGCAGCTCAGTATGACATCACTGTCCTGCACGTTCTGTGAGTTGCTTGGTATTTAGCATTGTTTTTATGACTAGATCATAAAGTTTAGTCAGGCAGAAGCCACATGTTTATTTTTTCCTCTCCCCACAGCACCTAGGGCAGTATCAGCCATAACAGATGCTCAGTAAGCATTTCTCAACTGACTATACAGACAGAAAATGCTGAGGGAGAGTCCTGGGAATGAATTCTGGATCCATCAGGCTTTGCTGTGTGATTTTGGGCAACTTGTGTATGGCCTGGTGGTAGGAGTTGGTGGTTATCAGGTAATGCCTGTGCCCAAATGACTAACACACCCAGTAATTCTGTGAGGAAGATAAATTGTTTTCTTATTTTATATGAGAGGAGACTCTAAAATAACCTGTCCAGAGTCACTCAGCTTGGTAAATGGCAGAGTATGGGTTTGAAACCAGAGTCTGAGTTCAAAGCACGTAATCCTGTGATTTGTTGCCCATCTGATTTGCCTACCTTAGAGTCAGACATTCTGAGTGAGAGGATGAATAAAAACTTTCAGAAGATGGTAAAAACACTGTCCAAAAGATGAATTTAGTTATTACTGTATTATGTGGAAAACATTTTACTTTTTATGTGTGTGTGTGTGCTGGGGATTGAATTCTTATACCTGTTAAACACATACTCTACCTCTGAGCTACATGCCTAGTCTAAAAATAGCTTGGTTTTTAAAAGTGATTGGCAATCTTTGGGACTTGGGTGGGGGGGTACATAGCTATAGTGTGTAGAAGAATCTGGAAGCTTTTCTGATCACTCCTTGACCTTGCAGAAAGATTTCAGAAAATTAGCAGCTTGCAAAATGTTCACTCTTCCCTACCCTGATCACCAGAGGCTCAGTCAGAGGACTGACAACAATGTACATCAGTAGAAGAAGGAACATGCTTGTGTTTTTTTCCTCTTTTACATTGATCTTAAAATTCTTGCTTGGCCTTCCACCGTCAGCGTGTCCAAGGCCATGAGTCCTTGATCTGTGGCCCAAAAGAAAAACACAGGACAGTGGATTCTTCTCCTGTGGCCAGTTTCCAGCCTGTGTTTCTATTCTGGGACCCATGTACAGACCATTGGGAGATGGAGCAAGTGCTACTGTCCTTGATACCCCATGCTGTACCCTACCTTGTGAGTGCTGGGGGAGGAGGGCCCATGTGCTCTGTAGCTTTCAGTACTTCCCACCAGTAAGCATAGAGGGCCTTTGCAAGTAATTGTAGCCATCTGTTTTTAAAAGGTGAAAATCATTCCTAAATTCAGGTGTCCATTTATACATTAATTACACTGCTCTCAGTTGCAGCCATGTAGACTTAATAGCTGATTGCGGCAGTACCCAAATCTGTGATATCAGAATGTGACATGCATATTTTAATTTGAGAAATAGTTTAACATTTCTAGATATTCATTTAGATGTGGTTATGCAGGTTAAACATAACGTATGATCGCTGCTTCTTTCATTGCTTCCAATTAAACCTTGCTTGTTAGTTTAACCTCTAGGTAATCCCATCAAACAATTGATGTCAAGGAAACACTGCCCACAGTAGCTTCGGATGAGTGGCCATTAATTTTAATTGCCTTGATATTAAAGATTAAGAAGTATTGGGACTAGCAGAATAGAAACGATCTGATGTCAAGCAAATCCACTTGCTAAAGCTTCCCCAGGCTGCTGGTGATATTAAAATTTTACTGTGAGAATTAAATAAACCTTTATTAGTGATGACTGTTGGTTGATTGGTCCAGGGGTGTGCATAAACAGGATTCGTCCATATCCAGAGATGAGACCTTCGATGGTGCAGAGATTCCTCAATTATGAAACTGTTAATAAAGCTGTAATCTGATTTTCCAGGCTAGGTTTCATTAATGTATTATAGCTTCTCTGATTGTCAAGGTAATATTAACTACAAAGTACTGAATCCAACAGAGAATTGCTTAGAAGAAGAGAATTCTAAGATGGGCCTTTGTTGCTAAATTCAGAGTTGGGGAATTTTCATTAATTATGCTTTAAGAAATGCCAGATTCCCTCTCAACCAGGACTATCTCCCCTTGCACTTTATACATCCTCAATATTTAACTCTTTCTCAGGCCTAACAGGCTTACCCAGGAGCTAGAGTGGTGTTGCATGTCAAAGGAGCTTTTTGCATGCCAGCCCTACATGTGCTTTCCGAGCTGAGAGCATGCATTGTGGAAGGTGAGGTGGATTCCAAGAGGATTTGCTTTAACAAGCAGAATCAGAACTGATCCCTGCAGGCTTCTTTTTCTACCTTGCTTCAGAACTTCTCTGTTTTAAGAATGGCATGATTCTAGTAATTCTGGTATGGGAAGGGATCCTAAGGCTCGCTGAGACTGCTTTTTCCAAGTACCTGTCTCCATCCTGCTCAAGGCCCAGGCCCCACATCAGCATCATCTCTGTTTCCCCCTCTCTCTTGGCAGACTGAAGGAAGGGAGGGCAAGAGGCCATTGGAAGGAGGGGTTGGGTAGCACAGGTTGGATTTGTGGATCTCATTTTGTGACCTTCTAGATGTCAGAAGTAGGACCAATGAATGGACAGGAAGAGGAACCATGTTTTAGTACAAAACAAAGAGAACTGTAGTTTTCTCAGAAGGACTAACCAGTAATGGACTCAGAGACTCTGGGGAAGTGGGCATCCTGTCTCTGGAGGTGGGCATTGTGGGAGTGTGAAGAGAAAATAGAGGCTTAGGTCTGCAGGGCACCTGAGATACCTCTTAGACCTGGTGAGCTGGAGGTTGTGGCAGAAGGTTTCCGTGGGAAGCCCTTAAAAATTGATCTAAAATTCTTCATAAAAGTTAGGAATAGAGATGGAAATCTGGGAGTCATCCACAAAGAGGATAAAACTAGAGTTTTGAGTATGGATAAGGAGAAAGAACAAGTCAAGAGCTGGGTCTTGGAGGAACACACTAACCTCTGGTGTGTCAGGAAAGGAGTAGATGTTGGAGGGGAAGCAGGAAAATATGAGAAAAGCCATGCAGAGAGCAAGTCCTGGGCAGGAGGGGTGGTCATTACACTTATCCGACACTCCTGAGAGGTCAACCAAGTTGAGGAAAGGAAAAGCCACTGGGTTGGGTACAGGTGAGGTGCCCAGTTAACCACCTCCATCAACCACCCAGCCCTTAAGACTCTTAAAATTCAATGGGAAAATGAGTGTAGACTCTGCACACAGGAGAGTCATTAAGTAACAGTTACTATAGCCACTATGTTTGACATGTAGAGAGGAAGGGATACATAAAGTCCTTTGGAACACCTGAAGGAACAGAAACAACTAAGAAGTGCTGATATGTAGTGTATTTACTTCTTGGTGGGTTTTCCTTATTTCTGATGAGCCGTCTGTGCACGCTGCATGGGCCCCTGGTGAGTGTGTCTGCTTGTACAGTGACCCCAGTGTGGGACAGCATATGGGCAGCAGCGAGGCCAGCGTCTTCCATGAGGGCTTCTCTTGCCAGGGCTCTGTGGCTTCTTCCAGAAGGATGAGTGCCATAGGTTGAAGAATGAGAGTCCTGTTTCCAAAGCAATTAAAGACTTGGCAGAAGTGGTCACCAGGGTGCCCATTGGTGTAAATTGGGTTGGCGGGCTATGAACTACATCGTACTCCTTATTTTCCCTCAGGCCCCTGAGGAGCTATTAAGGAATAATACCTTTAGGGTAAAAGAGACCCTGATACCACGGCAACATGTTCCTTTGACAGATTATGAAGAAATTATTGAAAAGTATTCCTAAACTGCTACTTTAACAAAAGAGACGTGAGATCTTTTTATACAGCAAGTGGGTACACCTTCTTATAAATTGCTGTGTGCCTTTCAGCTTCTTTGCATAGCTCAGCTACAGGTGACACATAACGTGACTCTGAGCAGTGAGTCTTGGGCTGCAGTTTTGCTGTCCATGAAATGTGATGAGATCGGCCTGCTGCCAAGACCGTCTTAAGAAATCTCTCCTGTTTGCACTGATGTCATAAGTAGTTTGCAGAATAATTCAGTGCATTCCACCTGATGAAATCAGTGCCGCTCCTCTGTGTTTGCATTTGACCTTATTGAGACTGATGACTTGAGTTTCCAAGCTGTGGCCTTCCCACGCGCTTACTGGCAGAACTTGAACAGCCATCTTGGCAGACATGCAATGTCTCCCAAGGCAGGAGACAAAGGGAGTTTTCATCCATTATTAATCGATGTTCCACTTTTCAGCAGACCAAACATGAGTCTACTGTACCACTGCCAAAATTGTTCCAGACCCAAGAAAGAATAATAAGTTGTTCTTTTCTCAAGTATTACTTAGTGTTTACCTAACTTAACAAATGCTTCCTGTAGCTTTTCATCTCCTTTTACAGGCCTGATTAGTGTATCCTAATAGATTCTTACCAGTTGGGTTTTTTTCCAGTACTGGGGAGTGAACCCAAGGCCTCATGCATGCTACCCGAGCAGACTACCACCTGAGCTAGGCTCCCAGCCCGAGCTGAGTGTTTTTTGTGACTAGTGCTCCTGTCACCAATTCCAAGAAGCAGTGTTATTCCAAAGAAAGAAAGAATTTGCCAAAACCGAAAGCAAACAATTATGTACTCCCCATAGAATGTAAGATTACAGGTGGCTATTGAGCATCTTCCAAGGTCCCCTTGGGGCCCAGTGTCATGATTGTAAGTTTGACTTTCCCTTCCTTTTAGACTTTTCAACCCTTTCAATTCCTTGTTTCTGCAATTTGTAGGTATCCAACTGGTTTGGCAACAAGCGAATCAGGTACAAGAAGAACATAGGGAAATTTCAGGAGGAAGCCAATCTCTATGCTGCAAAGACAGCTGTGACAGCCGCACATGCAGTGGCTGCAGCTGTGCAGAACAACCAGACCAACTCACCCACCACTCCAACCTCTGGTGAGTACGAGCACCTGTTCCCTACCTGTCCAGGCAGCCTTTTGCTACAGCACCCTGTCTCACGGGCCATGAAACCAGAGCTGTACTGAGGACACAGTGGATTCATAAAGGAAAATTTATGTACACATACAGACTTGTTCTTGGATGGGTGAGTGAGTGGGTGGCCCAGGCCTGTAACCCGCCCTTCACAGTGAGTGCCATATGCTACCGGTAGAGTCTGGAACTTTCACACTTGTAATAGCCTGTAATTCAGCAATGAGGCAAAGCGCCACCATCAATGATTGTCTTAGCTGTATTGTTCCATGTTTCACTTTAAGGTCAGTAGTGGTCTATGAGAGAATGGAATGGCCGAGTAGGAAATGTAGTGAAGATGGGGTGTCAGGCTGAGGCATAGCGCTGCTTCTCCTACTTGACCCGCAGCTCTGGACTTCTCCAGTACCTATGGTGCAGTGCATGTTTGCCAGGCTTAGAAGTGGTTAAATGTGAGGATATGGCACTTAATTCACACATGCACTCTTGACTTCTCACTCAGTATGTTTTGGCAAAATTTTATGTGATGTTTGTGATGGAGTTAGAAATACCTTAAAATTACAGGGAACCTGAGTGACAATGAAAGATGTACAGCTAGTTCAAGCAGATGGACATGAACAATTCAAGGGGCTTTTCTAAGGAGATCTTTTAAACATATATTTAAAAGTTCAGAAAGAGGGTTTTGTTCTGTTTTGCCACCCCTACTTCACCATTCTTTCTAGTGAAATGTGAACAAAGGTGAAAGGGAAGTAGAATTATGGCTAAGAAAGAGCATCAGAAAAACATGTCTTCTCCAGGAAATGATCCACATAACAGTTTGTAACTAAGTCCTGGAGAGAAATGAAAACAAGGGGGAAGGTGCCAGTCCAGTTCCTGGAGGCTTTCCTGTTTCGATTTATTTCTTTAGTTTTTTTATTTGGGCTTCCCCCTTAATAGGACTTTTCCAGGATGTAAAGTGAATCACAGGACCTAACTGTGGAGTTACTGTCCATCCTTCTAGATCTGGAAATGTCTGTGTTGTGCACAGCCTCTCCCTTCTGTGTCTTGCTCCTTTCCCTGCCTCTCGGTCTTTGAGGATATGTGTGTAGCTCTCTGTTATTCAGCCACTTAACTCTTTCCTTTCCAGGTTCTTCTGGTTCTTTTAACCTCCCAAATTCTGGGGACATGTTCATGAACATGCAGAGTCTGAATGGGGATTCTTACCAAGGGTCCCAAGTCGGAGCCAATGTGCAATCACAGGTAGGAGAAATGCCCCAGCTGGGGCCTTTCTGGCAGGGTAGGGTTTGGGCTCAAAACTCCTTACTCTGACCCCATGGAAGTGGTCTGCACATCCATGCAGAACCTGTGCTGGGTGCTTCCAAATGGGACCATCTGCCCACCACTTAATTTAATAAGAAGTCAAGTGGACAGTCACTTTGATGATTCAAACCTGATGAACTTTGTGAATGCATTCGGCTCTGGCTTGAGCTCATGGAGACGGGTGGGGTGCATCTTTGTCAAAAATAGAACAGAAAAACTACTTGCAAAGTGTGTGTGTGGTTTGAGAACATACTACTCTCTTTTTATTTCTGTATTTTTGTAAGTTTGAATACAAAAACCTGAGTTCTTAAAATATGTTCCAGGTTCAGCCCCTTTCTTGTCCTCGTAATTGAGAACAGTTACTCAGAGTTTTATGCATTTGGGTGGGGGGTACAGAGAGGGAGAGAGATCTAGCATGCATATTGTTGTAAGTAGGTTTTCACCCACAGCCACATGCATTTGTTTGCTGTAGATGGAAAGTTTTGCATTGCCATGAAGATGTTATTATTTGGCTGGTGTGGAAAACAAAAATGTGTGAGTTTATGCAAAATTGTTGAAATTCTGCCAGTCACATTTGATTGGTGAATTTGTCTTTGATTGAAGATGCTAAACCCTTGTGGCACACATAATTCAAATTGTTTCCTTTTGTAAGTGGTGATGTTTGTATGGATTTGGAATGGTGAATTTTGTTTTGTCTTCCTTCTAGGTGGATACCCTCCGTCATGTTATCAATCAGACGGGAGGCTACAGTGATGGCCTTGGAGGAAACTCACTGTACAGTCCACATAATTTAAATGTGAGTACCCTGGAAAACCAGCTGTAGGAACAGTGTCAGGCAAACAGTGACTAATAAATAAATTAGCAGCCATTTGACTTGGCTTCCCATCTTGTTGGCAGGTAGGGAAGGCAGTGTCTTTGGTGCACATTTATTTTATGGACCTCAACACTTAGTTACCTAGATGCCCTTAGAGGTCCTCAGGATATAAGAAGGGGCTGGCGTCCTTTCATCAGTAGGGACTTAAGCAAGCATCAGCCCATTAAGACGCCATTTCCTAGCACCTGTGCTGTGTTCCAGGGAGGTGGTGGAAAACAGGTCATTTATCTTACAATCAAGCAGCAGGAAGAAGTTCCATGCACAGTGTAGGTGAAGGTGACACCCTTGGAAGGCCCCAGACCCATCAACAAACAAAGCTAAAAAGAATTTTGTTCTTAAAAGTATCTTGCCTGCATTGACAGTGTGCGATGCAAAAAATGTTTAACAATTTTAATTATGGAAGAACTAATTTTGCTTTTATTATCAATTCACTAAAAATTTCCTCCTTCCCTGATATATATGGAAAATGGCAAAACCTATAGCTCTGGGAAGGGAGCAGGGTGTGTGTGTCAGGGTGGGGGAGGGGTTGGTATCCAGGGATCAGGTCATCATGGGGAGCTGGAGCACAGTGGTGGACCAAATCTGGAATTCCAGACCTGGGGACACTACACTGCCCGTGGGTACATGTAGGAGATATAGGAGGAAAATGGACAAAAGTCTCCTTTTTTAGGGCCTTGGATTGTTATGAGAGTAAATATTAATGATTTAAAAAATGATTGAGGATGTTCAATTGTAAAGGAAAAAAGGACCATTAAATACTCAAATCTTTTACATTTGAAATGTCAAATCTTTCTTTTAGGGTTTATAAATAACTCATAATAACCCACAACAAACCATATAAAAAGCCTTTTAGTTGCATTTCTCCTTTTTCATTTAAGTGTTTTGAAATGCTTCAGAGAATGTGCGATATCCTTATCAACATGATAAAATATGAAACCGTGATTGCCTGCAGCATTTTACAGACATGAATTCCATCTTCACTGATGAGGCTTGATAAGGCGCTGTTGTATAATACAGTGCATAATCTCAAACCACCAGAGTAAGGATTAATTTATTTTGAAAAAAAAGAATGCTTGCTGACAACCTCTCCTCCAGCTGCCACGCTGGGTAGAAATATTGTACATTTGTTGTTTATAAATTTGGATAAAAGAGGAATGATGTTTACTTCAGATGGAATATCTTTAGACTTGTATCTGTGAGAGTTTTTCTTCTAAGGAGATATTCATACCTGAGGGGAAACAGCTTACCTTTTAGATAGGGAAGAGGATTTCTAAGAGGCCCTGGAACACCCACGGGCATGTCATCACCCAACCTAGCACAACTGAGGCTTTCAAAAAATAGGGCCATGGTTTTTATTATTATTGTTTAACCTTATTTTCCTTTTTCTGACCTGAAATTGATGTACTTCAAACCTCAAAAGTCCTTTTTCCTGTGGTTTTGTCATCTCTGTGGGGTTGGCTATCCCCTTGTCCTTGGTCCTACCTGTAGAGAGGGAAGATACTTTATATGCAGAACTGTGCAGCAAATCAGAAGATAGGTTCTCCCAGAATAACAATCATGAGGGAAGAAACAATTGCCGGCATGCAGCTCATGTGAATGCCACATCCAGGCTGGGCGGGGAATCTAGACTTCCCAGTGGCCTGGTGGCCAGGCCCAAGAGAAGATCTTTGGATGTGAGGGGGCAGGGCATATCATGGCCCACACTGGCATTGGTGTGGGAGCCCCAGGCTGGGCAGCATGGAGGCCAAAGCCATCTGGAGCTGCAGGCACTGGGTGTCAGGCAGCTCACCTTCGCCTTCCCTCCAGAAAGGCCTGCCCCGTCACTTCCACTCAGTGTTCCCCAACTCACAAGCCCAGCACCTCCCTCTTCTTGACTGACATAAAAATATGTAGCGACAAGCTGTCTGCCACAGCAGAAATCTGATCAGACATTGATTTCAGCAATTGCCTGTATAGACCGAGACATGAGGCAAATTTGTTTCTGGGGACTATTGTTGCTGGTGTAGGTCCAAGGCAGGAAGAGCCTTCTGCATGTGTGGAGCGGAGCAACAGCCCAGCGAGGGCTCCACTTACAAATAATTGGAACCCCGATTTGAATAGTGTGTACTCTTCCACAGGTCATGCATTTTCATTCTGAAAGATCTTTATTTGGAGGGAAATTCTGCCCTTCATTTTCTGTGAGTTCCAGTAGCTGGCTGTCAGGCATGTATGGAAAAGGGCAGTCAGCTTCTCTAGCAATGATGATGAGGCCCAGCTGGAGTTTGTGCTCCTTGGAGCTCAGGCTTGTGTTGAGGCATTGCGTTGAACTCTCCACCGCTCCTTCTTACAAGATTTCGTTTAGTCACATTATTTTTACCGGCAATTAAAGGCTGAGCTTTGTGCCAGTTTGGGACAAGCTGAAGCCCTTCCTCAGTGTTCTGATTTATTGCCAGGTCTTTACTTGATGGGATGGATTTGTTTTACATGCATTTAATTCCACTTTAACACATACTTCCAACTCTTGCCAAAGTGGGTTTAGCAAATACATTTTGCTAATGCATCTTTGCTCTCCTGTTGTCATCTGGGTGTTCTGCATTGGGGAGTGGAATTAATATGGAGACATGCACCCACTGAACTGTGCTCTCCTTTCAGGCTAATGGAGGCTGGCAGGACGCAACAACTCCATCTTCTGTGACTTCTCCTACGGAAGGCCCGGGAAGTGTGCACTCGGACACATCTAACTAATCTCTGGCACGCTCCCCTGAGCTGACATGCCTTGATAAGCGCATTCAGAGCAATAGGAGGAAAAGGAAAGCGTTTTTGTAGCCCACCATCTACAGCTTTACTGTAAAACCTTGTCTTACTAGAGAACTTGGTAAATCTGTTTTTTAAAGAATCATAATCATTTGTATTTATACTTAAAACACACAATGTTAAAAAAAAAAAATAAAGCACTTTATCCAATTAGGCCAAGATTTAACATTGTTGACAGTCTTGTAGCTATTTTATCATAATTTATTACCAATATTTTACATTAATGGTTTCACAGTTGCCAATTATTTGGCCTTAGAGTAAAAAGTACAATATATGCTAAACCTCAACCGTTAGAGCAGATGCGAAGACTCACCTCACCTAAACTGAGCTCCTTGCTTATTTCCATCGCAGACTTTGATTGTCTTTCTCTCATGTCACGGATGGCGTTGGAATAGAACAGCTGTTTGGCCATCTCTGTTACTGATGCTGTGTTTAAGAATCTTCCTCCTCACATTTGTGTTACGATCATTTATGTTATACTTAGATCAGAGACTGGAAGCCTCTTTTCTCTCTGGAAGCACCAGTGCCCAGAGTCTGCTCGGTAATGAGACCATGGATCCAGATTGTTCTGAGAGACGAAGATACTTGCTGCTGGTGGAGGTGGAAACGAGACCTGTCTGGGGTTTCGCAGTGTGCACTGGGTGCTGCACAGACTTGTCAAGGTTTGCTACGTCCTCTGGGCAGCCTCCAAAGGCCCTGCTCTCTGGAGTGTTGTATATAGTGTAGCAAAAGAGTATTTATACATCTCACCAATCAGAACACAGCTTTATTACCTCATGCGAACTCATACAAACCAATAGAATTTCAACATGTTCTGTAGCTTAGAGTGCTCACTTACTACCTCTGAACAACTCACGCTGTAGTTCGTCTCTTTCTTACCTTTTTGCATCTTGTAATTAACTCTTTGTTTCCCTTCATAAAATGTAATGTACATTGTAATCTTTTAAAAGAAAAACCAGGGTTGCATTTGCAACTTTTAAAAAAACAGAGTGGAAACATTGGGTCTTAATTTAACACAGATCAGTAAAACTGCTGTAAATACTGAGAAACATTTTTGAATGTTCTTCGTCTTGTTACTAATCCATGCAAAAAAAAGCGGCGAATAATTGTGATGCATTCAGATTCAGTATTCAGTACTGTATATTTCACCCTGTGTGATGGGGCCCCTCTCTTTTCTCTTTTTGTATTGTATGCGATTCTGAAACTGATTGAGTCATGAAAATAATTTGTGGCAGTGATTCTAATGTATTAAAAACGTTTCGTGTTCCTTTCTAACTGGATTACACCCTGGATTGAAAAAGTCTTCCTTGTGGTAGTTATATGTAGTTTCAAACATGAATAAACTTTTTGCTTTCATGATTAAATGTTGATAGCATTTCTTACTCCAGTCCTTGAGCCAGCAGCCTGTGCAGGCCTGGGAGGAAGCCCACTCAGAACCAGGCCTGGCAGGCAGATGCACAGCCCCAGGAGGGACTTTGCAGGTCATTGAAAGAAGAATACCTGCTGCTGATGGCCACCCACTGTACCTCCATCACACGCCCTCACTGACCACACCACAGGAAAATGCTTTCCCTGTTTTCAAAGCTTAAAAAGCTGACATTCAGAGACATTAACGGAATGGTACGAGGCCATAGGACAACACAAGGCTGCACCTTGACCCAGTGCTCCCCAACTTGGTGCTCACGTTCTCATGACCTCAATGATGACTCTGAAACTTATTAGATGGAAACCTTCCTTTTCTCCCTTCCTCCCTTCCTTCTTTCCTCTCTCCTTCCCTCCCTCCTTTCCTTTTTCTTTCTTTTTTTTTTTTTTTAATAACCAGTCTTGACACATTCTCTTCACCTCCATGACTTCTTTAACTACAGTTAAAAAGCACAAGTTTATCTGGAAAGAGTGGGCCTCACATACTATTAAAAATAAAATCTCTGCAACTTTTCTTAATATGCTTTTTACATTCTAAATTTGTAATCTGTGAGACCAGCTAAAAATCTTTAACTAGATTAAACATTGTTTTTGTTTTATTCAGATTGTAAGAAAATCCATATATTTTCATACACGCCTGTCGCTAATATCTAAATCTTTATAATAAAAGAGGTCCATAGCAGATAATTGGCCTGTTTACTATATCTCAAGGAAATTGACTCACAGGAAATCAGATTAATGTTAATCAGTTTCAGCAAATTGTCTTTGATAAATACAACTGTTTTACTATTTCGGTGGGTAGAGCCAGGCACAACAAGGTCTAGGGCCACAATCCCCATTAATCTTGAGGCAGTTACACTGTGAGGGTAAACTTTATGAAACAGATTGCTCTCCATAGCTGTCCTCCCTCACGTGTGTGCTTAGCCTGCCTGTAGGAATCTCTCTTGTGGCTAAGTAGTTATTTGCATGATTCAATTAGCTTGTGGGTCAAACTTTCTTATCTCTGTGCATAAAACAATCTCTGTTCTATGTGGTTTTGCAAAACATCTTGTGGAAACATAACACATCCCCACACATAAGTTCATCTTCCTTAGTGTCCCCAGACAGACACCTCCTAAAACCATCTTGGCTTTTGTCCTGGGCCAGGCTGTTGAACGAAGCACACGAGTTCTCGCTGGTAATTCCCACGTTGACTAGCAACCTGGTGGCAAACGGGAGACTGAGGCTCTATTCTGGGGACACCAACATAGAAGCAGTAGCCCTTCAAGTGTTCTAGCTCAGGAGGCCCCTGCACTGCTTCCACCTCTGGGAGGGTCAAAGCACCTCATTTCACAGGTAGTGAGACTGGGACACCACACAGACCCTCTGGCCCAGCCTTGGGGGCCCACTGGGGAGTGTAGTCTTAAGCCATGGATTGTGACACAGGCACTTGGGTCTCACTCCAGACTGGGTGAGATGAGTTGATTTTTGTTAGCTTTTCACCACATACCTTTTCTGGGTTAAGCAACCGGTTAGGGTTGGACTCACAGGAGTAAGTTCACCCCTTCCCCCCTCTGCAGGGGCCTAGTTCTGCTGGTTCAGAAAGTAAACACTTAGTGAGGTGTTGGAAAGACAGACTTCTGAACCCCAAGACTGAAGCAAGGAGGATCCCCAATCCTGCCCACAACGTCAGAGGAAGTAACAGCAGGAAGCCACCTGACCCGCCCAGGGTCCTGTCCATATGCATTGTTTGGTTCAGGAGAATATGTGTGTTCTGCAGCCCAGGTGCCCGAACGCATGTTTCATAGGCTGATGTCTTCTGCATGAAGCTGCCCAAGGGCAGTGGGAGTCCTATCAGAACAGGTGGCTTTGCCCAAACTCGAACCACATCCTTGTGCCTGTCTTCTGGAAGTGGAAGTGGAAGTGGTGTCCCAGAGAGGCCCTTTCATGTAGGAGGTGGCCTTAGGATTTGTCTCCTAGATTTAGGGACAGGAGTAAATGCTTGCACACATAAAGTGATAGTTTCAGTTTATTGAGTGTCTCCTGCACCTTGGCCAGGTTCTCCCCGCACATTAGCTCATCTGCCGAGTCTTGTGGGTCCGGCACTATTCCATTTTCAGAGGGGAATCTGAGCCCAAGTTGATGAAGCTACCTGACTGAGGGCTCCACAAAGCTGGCGTCTCTTCCTGACACCTTCCAGCAGCCACCTGTAGCAGGACCAAAAGGCTCCCATGAGCCACCCAGCCTCCTATGTGAGGTGTCGTTCTGAGGCAAGGTGACCAGGGACATGATCCTCCCCCTCCCTTAGAGCTGGTGTCCTGAGGTTGCTACCGTGTGTTGTGACATATGTCACAAACTGCATGGAGCTTCCTGTGTCTACAGATCGCAAGGTTGGGGACAAGGGACAGGAATAGCCAGTGTCCCTGGGGCTGGGCCAGTCCCAGCACCATGACTAGTGATGACAAACAGTGCCTCCCTGTGAGGGTGGCTATGACAATGACAGAAGTGTTGAGTGTAGGGTTTGTGGCATATGTACCCGCTACGTGAAGTTTATCCTGTGTAGAAGTTCTGGATATGTACCCTGTACCCTTGTGTTGTCTTTCCGAATCCCTGCCTCCGCCAGCTCGGTTCTGACCCCTGCCTCCTTGACCCTGCTACCCAACAGCCCGCCCTGGCTTTTCCTGTCCCTCATCCCCATCCCAGTGATCCGTAGACACAGGAAGCACCACACACAGTGGTGTGTGACAACATACACATCATAACACCTTCAGGCCGTGGATGTGTGGCTACTATTACCCATCTTCAGATGAGAATCAGGCTCCAAGAGGTGACGCCACATGGCCAAAACCACACAGCCTCAGAATATGAATCTGGATTTGTTGAAACTCCATACCTACATTTTAAACCCTTTGTGTCTGTCAGTGTCTCTTTCCTGTCACGCTGGGTTTATGGGCTCACTGTGTGCCTGTCCACATCTGGTGAGCCTAAGGTGTCAACTGAATGTGGAAGAGGATGGGTGTGCCAGGGTCCCAACCGCCATCAGAGCCATTGGCTCCTCTCCCCAGCAGCCCAGGATGCCAGAGATGCAGCAGGGAGGCTGCTGTGTCCGTGGGCACTTCTTCAAGCAATGACAGGCCTATGGCTCATCCCTGATGAGCCTGGTCCTGGCACCATGGAACCAGACTGCCTCCCAGCCAGTGTGACTTGGCCTTTGGGCTGGGAGCCTGCAAAGCTAGGGTCACTCCTCCCAGCCAGATGCCCATCACAGAGAGGAACACGTGCAGACCGGCAGGGAGGCCGCATGGCTTGGAAGGCACCATGGTCTAGTGTCCAGGAATGTGGGCTCCTCAGTGAAATTGCTGGGGTTGAACCCCATCTCTGCCTTATACCAGCCACATGTCACTGGGCAAGCCACATGCCCTCCCTGTGCCTGAGGGAGGGCATGCCTCCTGGCATGACAGGATCAGGCAGCGTGGTACAGGTCAGGCCCTTGGACCTGTGCCCTAGCAGAGTCTGCATCAGGGCAGAGGACATTGTACTCAAATTCCACCCTTTGTTGATGCCACACCTCTGCACAAGTCCTATGTCACCCATGTTTACAAAAAACCCAGGTCTCCTGACCCCAGGGCCAGGGTCAGGGCACCCCAGTTATGAGTTATGCAGCTGGGTGTGCCCTGGGGCAGGCCACCTCCTCTCCCTGCAACCTCGGTTTTCTCAACAGCCCAGTGCCTGGTCGTAGCGTGGGTGGGTTCTCTCTTCATTGTGGTTATTGCTACACAGTAGCTCAGGGCAGAAGGGGTAGCGGGTTCTCTCTCTGGTCCCCTTTGCAGGAGTGTTCACTTCCAGTCAGCACAGGTGGGTGACAGGAAGGGTCGGCTGCAGTGCTAGGGTCCTGGCGTGGGTCAGCCTTCTTAACCCATCCACCCCAGCCTGTCTGCCCCAGCCCTCCAGGCTGGACCTCAGCTGAGGCCTCACCTTCCCGCCATCTCAGGAGATAATAAAAGGCTGATTCTTTTTTTCCTGGTAAAATTTCAGCAGAAAGTGTACGCATCATTAAATATGGAAATCCAGAATTTTATTAGCAATCTGCTAGATCTGAACTGACGCCAATTAAACAAAAAAGATATCATTTATAAAAAGGCAGGGTTCAACTTGTATTAAATATGAAATGCAATCTTCTCCTGGTTTTGATTTATTACTGGTGGTCCATTGTTCAAAGAAGCATGTTATATTTCAATAGAGAAATATTGTTTATTCATTAATATTTTAAAACGGGCTTATTGCTGTGCCTGGTTCTCACTGAATGAAACTTATGATTTAAAACATGAATTAATAAACACATTTGAAAGTGTTAGACAAGATCACAACCTCTCATTTTTCATTTTCCTGGGAGCATATTAAATTTTTATAATTCTGCATCTGCAGTTTTTTTTTCTTTTAAATAAAGATGCAGATTCCAAATTACTCTGCTAATTTCAGGTAACCAGGAGCGAAAAAGCAATATCGTGGGGACCAGTGTCAGAGCTACAGAATTCCCAAGAAGACGCTCAGGTTTATTTTTGTAACATTCATAAATCAAAATAAATGAGCTTTGTGAGGGAGGCAGCGCTCACGGCCGAGGATGCCGGCTGTCGCGGGCCCACGCACCGGGCGGCAGGTGGGTTGACCATGCTGAGTCCACGCGCGCACGTGCGTGTGCTCCTCGGCGTGCCCACAGATGCACGCGCACCACCTGGATGCGCAAGTGTGCGCGCATCTGAGCGCATCTCATTTGTTTGGTTCAGCAGCCAAGCGGTGTTTATTGAGCACACACTATGTGCCAGGCCCCCTGCTGGTTTCTGGGGTGGGATGGCCACAGGGTGATCTTCTTGCCCTTCCCTGCCTGTGTGATCTCCCCACCAGGACCTGGGCCTGTTGGCGTCCCCTCAGTCCCCCCAACACTGAAAGCAATGCTTCCATGTCA